CACAACTCAGTAATTAACTTAAGACGTTAATTAATATATAATTAAACTATTAGGAACACCGAATCCAAAAAAGTTCTCAGTCGGATCAACTACTCATTCCGACAATGATTAAAACCCATTAAAATGTTATTTCAGTTTCCAATATCTGCAAACCTGCTGCAGCGCAAGGTCCGCATTACCCAATATTTATTAATTATTTATTAATTTATCAGTACTGAGAAATGTGGCACCAGGAATTCAAGGGAAGTTGTGTACGTATATGTTAATCTTTGTTCAGACATAAAGTTTCTTGATTAGTTCATAATAATCACATTGGTAGTTGTTACCACTTCATGCATGTCATATAACCCTTGACGAAGCAGATCGAGGAGGTATATGCATGAGTTCTTGTGCGCTAACTACTACTTCTATCTACCATTCAACATGCAGATTACTCTTTATAGCTCGTCATATCTTACTAAAATTTAATTAGGTCATTAACATTTAAACTAGTACTATTTTCGTTTTCCCCAGCTCTTGACATATATATTTAAACTAGTAGTATTCTCAGTTTTCTCAGTTGTGACCTGAGGCTTCAGGCTTCTCGTTTTATCAATAAAGGATTGAACTTAAAATGATTAGAGCAGTGTTTGGATGAAAGACTTTCAATGTTTCAAAGAACTTTATATTCAACTGTTAAAATACACCTTACAATGGATTACTCAATGAATACAAAGCTATTACTCAAACACTACAAATATACTACAAGGACACTAAGCCAAAGTACTTTCATAGCTCTCGATCTCAAATGTATTTGTTTGGGTTAATATTTGAACATTAGGCTGCAAATGTGTGGAAGCCCAGAGATACCAATTAAAGGAAGACTTGCTCGAGGCCCAAGAATCAAGCCCAGAGACAAATTGGCGCCTTCCCATTAATGCATAGGGCATGTGCCTATGATTTGAACGTCAAGTGATGGGGACTAACTCACAATCAGCCAAAAAGCACTTTTCAGTGGCAATACAAGTAAAAAGTTGATAACTCACTACCCTCCAAGTGTTTTTGGGCAAGAGCAAAGTCATTGCAGCCGGGCTAATCTACCTATAAAAGGAGGAAGAGGCCCCAGAGACAAGGACACTCAACCAATCAAACAAACAAACATACAAACTCTGCTCTCAAGCCAGATTTGCATCCAAAAGCTATAATCAGCCCAGATCTCAGTCCTTTTTCAGGATATCTCCCTCACAAAAGCTATTTTTTGTCTAATTTAAAGCTCTGCTATCACCCCTAGTGGTGTAGTATCGATTCTCTTGTGTAAACTGGTTTACCATCCATCTCTTTTTAGCATAGAAACCTCTGTAAACTCAAAGAGAAGTGATTGCAAGAAATTCAACCTTGCCCGACAAGTTGAAATCTTGCTTAAAGTTCTTTGTGTGTTTTCTAAGATAATAGATCTACTGCTTAATGTATTCTCCAGCATGTATTCAAGTCATATCCATCTATGTTCCTACTTTAAGAGTCTCATTTGGATTTGGATCTGGTCAGCTTAATGGATATGCTTTCATTTAAAATCAATCAAGAACCAAACAAATGACTTAAGGGATCTAGACTCCCCTCATTCGAATATACAAGATTATGAACGGAAAGTCCTTAGTCACAATGCAAGAAAAAGAACTTAATGTGAACTTAACCCATCCACGACAATCCTTTGATAGCAAGAAGTCCGAGTAACTTAGGACGCAAGTAATCGACTAAACACAATCTTGTTCTACATCTGCTATACTGAGATAGCAGTGGCACGCCTAGCACTTGGTTAGTTTTGATTGCGAGTTTCAAGGCCTATACCTAAGGCCCCACAAAGGTACCTTTCAAAACTAACCATGTCCTCTTCTTATAGCACATCGGCGGGCAAGAGCCTGACTACACATTCAAAGTGCCAATCCCTTAAGGAGCTGTGCTGAGAGCCGAGAAGCCCTATCCGAAGAAATCTTCGCCCGAACAGTATTATTTAGTCATTTTTGAATTTTCTCCATCAAATTTTTTTTGTAGAGCATGCCTACCAAATTTAGCTTCAGTTGCATGGAACTTTGAAGTTCTTTGTCCAAACATAATAACTAAATGTATCAAAAAGAGAAGAATAAAAGAAAAGAAAAATTGCAAAGAAATCAAATTTGAATTGTTAAACTAATCGAATTATGTATCAGCAACATGTCATTTAAATATTGACAACATATAACGATTAAATATTGATGACATATCAATTAAATATCAATCAATGACGTACTGAAAAAATGATTATTGCTGCAAATAGAATTTTAAAAATAATAATTTTATCTAATTTTCCAAAGAAAAAAGCATGTAAATTCTATGGGACAACCCAACATCACATTTGAGTAGATCCCCATCAGTCCTATGGGCCTACCCAACTATGGAATAAAAGACCATATTTAATCATTATCAATCCCCAAATATTATCTTAGGATGGTATTATCCACACGCTTATTTTTACTTTTTACACATTTCTTTTAATTTCTAGTCGTCAGATCAAATGAATTGAAGAAGATCAATGGATAAAAATTAACAAGAATGTAGGTGAGTTAAAAAAGAGTGTGTGAATAGCACTACCCTTAGCTTAAAGCGGACACACTGTTTTTTTCCTTGTCATGTTCTACTTTTTAGTTTCTACTGTAGTAATTTATTTAACCGATGATGTATATGTGCATCCAAATTTGGAAATAATGGAATGGCGAGCTCATTTTTCTGTCAGATCTGTCCAAATAAACAGGGAAAGGCATATGTTTTAGTAGTTGAGAGATGAGAAAGAATTAGGTCATCAACTCTCTAAGACCATCTCCAACCCTTAGCCTAAAACCTAAGCTTTAAGCTCAGAAAATTTAAGTTTTAACCTAAAAATAACTTTTCTGTTCTAACCCTTATGATCTAAAATTTTAACCCTAGATTATTAAAGAATGAATTTAGGCTATTTTTTTTAAATTAACTTTTAAAAAATTATGTTGACTATCCTAAATAAATTTTCTGAACAATTTAACCTAAAAATATTTAAATTCCGATAAACATTGAAAAATCACTAAACCAACACATGAAACTCATGAAACACTATAGAAGAATATGAAACACATGATAGAGATGTATAAACACAAGACACATGAACAAACACATGGTTTTGGAAGGTGGTAGAAAGAAAAATTGGAAGAATTGTAGGAGAAAAGTGAGTTTTATGTGGATGTTTTTCAACAAATATATAGATATTTATAAAGTTTTTGGGTGATTTTTGAGTTAAATATTTTTTTATAATTATTTTAACTGTTGAATTTAAATTTAGGCCATTAGATTTCTTTTTACCGTTAGATTTGATCATATTCGATCTTAGTCGTTGGAATCAATAAATTTATAAATATAAAACAAAAATACTAACTAAATTAAATGTGGACCGTTGGATAACCAACAACCCATTTGAATGTGAGCCGTTGATTAACCAAAAGAGTTGTTGGGCTCAATTTGGAGACACACCCATGTGGGTGGGGGTCCACCACTGATCTTGGCCTAAATCCTGGGCTTAATTTGGCTTTTTTTTTTTGGGTTTTAGTTCCAAATTAAAACTTGGGTTGGAATGGATTGAGGGGAGAATAGAAGGGGAATTATAGATTTTAGGCTATGGGTTGGAGTTTAGCCTAAGATATTTCAGTCATGTAAAACCCGAACAAGCATATTTTCTCTTCTCTGTCTCAGTGATTATATATTCAATGCAGCTATGGGGTCTCCGCCTTTTTTTTTTCCTTTTAAATTTGAGAAGAGACTATATATATAGTGAGTTCAATACTTGTTTCCCTACTTCATATTTATTATTCGAAATAATAAGTTACGAGTTTAAGTTTGACAATGGAGTTAGCTCAAATATAGAAGCTTGGATTTTATTCTCAAATTTGCATCTTTCAATCTGATTCTCAATCCATCTATGTACGTCAAAATGAACTGCAAGCCCATTTGTGGTTGGTATCAAATTAAGTACAATTAATAACACTAATTATATTTGGTTCTCGATATCATTATGGTGATTATGATGGAGGGTAGGTAGCACAAGATGATACAAAAGTTTCCCATCTACCGTCTCAAGGCCATCCCCACATGTTGTTATGTGTTAGAAATTTGTCAATAACCATTCTTTCAATTTCAATATGTAAAGGAATATGCATGGGATCCCATCTACCCTCAAACTCGAGCTAGCTAGCCTTGATTTTCTAGATGAGATCAACACCATCCATTCCCCATCCCCCACGCCCCCACACACACACACATTCACATCTAAAGGTCAATGTCAGGACAACTCATGCTTCCCTGACTTCTGAGAGATAGGTAAGATCGATAACATCTATAAATACAAACTCAACCCGGCGGACAAGAGTCTCCTTGCCTTCCCTCACCATTTCCCTCCCTTCATCTCCTTTTAGTATTGAATCTGAAGCATTATTTTTGGAATGTCTTTTACACACAGAGATATATGTGATGATTCAGTAGTAGGGAGCTTGAGTATCATATGTATGCATAGATGGTATATCGGTGAGTGATTTCCATGCTGACCCTCGTCAAATAAACAGTGTCTTGCAGGTTATATCTCTATCTCGTTGTCTGTTCGACCTTGAACTTCTGTATATATCCCGTATCTAGTCTTTCTCTCGTGTTTGTTTTCTACAGTTTACAGTACATATAAGTAATAATGTCGGTAGGGAGTTGTGGATGGCACTCCAAATTTAGTCTCTCAATGCTAATTAATATATAATCAACCTTTTAATTAACTATTGAAACCCTTCTGATCATCATCTCCTTCCATTCCTTTTAACATTAATAAATTCTTCATAGTATGATAGTTTATTAGTTTATATATTTACACTAAGGATTTGAGAATAAATTAGTGTCGAACTCGTCATTTACGAAGTTAAACTTAAAATCTCTTACTTGCAAGTGAAGATGAAGAAAACTATTACTAGACTGTAATAATAAAGATACACACACACATATTATATTTGATTTACTATCTTCGGAACTTACTTAATTTGCAAATTATAGATATACATTATCTTGTTGAATAAATTTTTTTTCTCACTCCTTTATAGTAATCACATATGTAATTTCATTGTTCTTTAATTTTTCAGTTAAAAAAAAAAAAAAAGCGTGCATAGTAAATTTCGGTAAAACAGAGAGTGCACCATGAATTTTTTAAAGCCATAGTAATTATGTCATTATAAATAATGAATCAATAGAGAGAAATTTTGATGATAATCATATTAATCCCAAGAAAGTAAAAATTAGAGCTGCTTAAGAACTGAAAGCGGACCAAGGTCAAACCGGCAACAAAGCTGAGGTATTAGTAAGAACTGTTTGATTGACAAGGACTGTGTATGGACATCAACCCTCATCATTCCCTCGTTTCGTCGCTCAAAACCGTTTACCTCATCAGCTGGTACGATATCGATCTCTCTCTTTCTCTCTCTCTCTCTCATATGAAAGTGCAGGATTTTAGCAGTTTCTTGCTGCGTTCATAGCAACTGCCATAAACTCAGCGCAGAAAGCAAAGTGATGGCGAGCCAGACTGCCTGTTCCATTCACTGGCTGAAGCCTCAAAAGTCAAGGACCAGGGCTGCCTTCGGCTAGCGGCAAGCGGCGGGGCCCTTTTTGTTCAAGTTGAAGCAGTTGAATATAGATCATGACAAAGCCCAAATCAAAGGCCCACGGGTTCAATTTTCCCTGTAAACTTAGAAATAAGACTGAAAATAGAAATATTTTTATCTTTTTTCACCAAATTCTCTATCTCTTTGTGTAATATATCGTTCTATTCAAAAAATAATTTTATTTACCAACATTCGATATGCATGAAGCTTTTTTTTTTTCTTTTTTTTTTTTTTCTAACCGCAGTTCGATATACGAGAAATTTCTTTCTTTACAAGCGTCTGACATGCACAATAAGTTCCTTCTGATCACACTAAACATTACGTTCATCTTTACCATTAAACTCAAATTAACCCTAATCATAACTAGTTTGTTTACTCTCCAAATTAAAGGCCAATTAAAATAGGAAGAAGACTTGTAAATTTAGAGTGAGACTTTCTGCACATAATACAAAAAGCAGCCAAAATCCCAACCCCATGGAGAATCACCCACCCTAGCTTAATTTGCTAGCTTCATATATAATTAACATGCATGCATTACATTACAAATGATACAAGATCCCCTAAAAACACACTCAAATTATAGCCACTGTAAAGGCCAGACTCCAATCCCTGGTGAAACACCACCACACCATTCAATGGAAACGCTGAGGGCCTCCTGTTCTCTGACTGCTTCGGGGAGTAGAGTTAATTCTTGATAAGAGTTACAAGGGTGAAAATTAATTTCATTACTTGACAAGTTTCTTGTATGTGTAAAACATTCTTCCACAATAGAACTTCATTATGCGTGAAAAACTGCGTTCTTGATAGTCTTCAGACATCCTCATAAAGTTCTTTCTTGACAGTCTTCAGACATGCTCATAAAGTTCTTTTGTACCACAGTTAAGTAAAATTTCTTTTTTGACAGACGTCAATCATGCACGAAAATTGTGTTCTTGATAGTGATGTCGCTTTAATTATTTGTGAAATTTCTTTTTGACAAGCGTCCGACATGCACATATAGTTATTTCTGACAGCAGTAATTGTGAAATTTCTTCATTGACAGGTGTCAGTCATGCACAAAAATTTCTTTCTCGATAGTGATGTCGCCTTAATTATTGTGAAATTTGTTTTTGACAACTGTTCGACATGCACAGATAGTTCTTTCTGACTACAGTAATTGTGAAATTTCTTCATTGACAAGCGTCAATCATGCATGCCAATTTCTTTCTCGATATTGATGCTATCTTAATTACTGTGAGAATTTTATTTCGACAAGTGTCCGACATGCATAGAAAGTTATTTGTTACCTACGTCTAACTGGTCCTACTTATCTCAGTAAATGTTACATTTAACTAACCTTACTTATCTCAATAAACGTTACATCTAACTGGCGTTTAACATGTGCATAAAGTTGTTTCTAACAACAGTAATGAGAAATTTCTTCTTTATCAATCGTCCGACATATGAAATTTTCCTTTTTAACAGTCATCTGACATGCAAAGAAAGTTCTTTCTAACTACAATAAACGTTATGTCCATCCTTAACATCAAATTGAAATCAAGTCATTTTCAGTTTAAAAAAAACAAAAAAAAAGAAAAAAAAAGAAAGAGAGCGCATGGTAAATTTTATTAAAAAAAGAGAGGGCACAATGAATTTCTTAGAGACGTATGTCCTTATAAGTAATGAATCAATTAATAGAGATGAATTTTGGTGATAAATCATATTATTCCCAAGAAAGTAAATAATTTGAGCTAGTTAAGAACTGAAAGCAGACCAAGGTGAACCTGGAAACAAAGTTGAGGTATTAGTAAGACTGTTTTGCTTGACGAGGGCTTTGTATGGACATCAACCTCCTCATTCCCTCGGTTCGTGGTACAGCACCGTTAACCTCATCAGCTGGTATGTCATCTCTCTCACTCTCTCTGTCTCTCATGAAAGTGCAGGGTTTTAGCAGCTTCTTGCTGCGCTCATAGCAACTGCCATAAACTCCGCACGAAAAGCAAAGTGATGACGAGCTAGACTGCCCACTCCATTCACTAGCTGAAGCCTAGAAGGTCAAGGACCAGGGTTGCCTTTGACAAGGAGTCTTGGGCCAGCGGCTAGCCCTCTTTGTTCAAGTTGAAGCAGTTTAATATTAGATCATGACTAAGCCCAAATCAAAGGCCCACTTGGGTTCAATTTTCCCTGTAAACTTAGAAATAAGACTGAAATTACAAACATTTTTTTCTTTTTCACCAAATCCTCTACCCCTTAGTGTATGTATATAGTTCTATTAAAAATACTTTTTTTGACCAACATTCAATATGCGTGAAGCTTCTGTTTTCATATAAGTTCGATATACGTGAAATTTTTTTATTTACAAGCGTCTGACATGCATAATAAGTTATTTCTAATCACAGTAAACATTAAGTTCATCTTCATCATTAAATTGAAATTAAGTCATTATGCCCTGTTTTCTATTCTTAACCTTAAACTAGAGCAAGAAAATTAACCCTAAACATGACTAGTTTGTTTACTCTCCAAATTAAAGGCTAATTAAAATAGGAAAAAGACTTGTAATTTAGAGTGAGACAGTTTGTGTACATACATACCAAAAGCACCGAAAATCCCAGCCCCATGGAGAAACACCCACCCTAGCTTAATCTGCTTGCTTCATATATAATTAACATGCATACATATTACATTATAAAAGATACAAGGTCCACTAAAACACACTCAACTTAAAGTCCCTGTAAAGGCCAGACTCCAATCCTTGGTGAAACAGTACCACCACACCATTCAATGGAAACGCTGAGGGCCTCCTGTTCGCTGTCTCTTTCGGGGAGTTGTTATTTCTTGATAAGAGTTATCGAGGGTGAAAATTACTTTCATACTTGACATGCTTCCGGTATGTGAAAACTGTTCTTCCACAGTAGGGTTTCATTATGCGTGAAAAGCTTTCTTTCACTATTGATTCCATCTGTAATTATCGTACTTAAAATTTCTTTCTTAACATTCATCAGACATGCCCATAAAGTTCTTTTTTACCGCAGTAACATAAAATTTCTTTTTTGACAAACGTTCGACATGCATTGGAAGTTCTTTCTGATCGCTGTGAAATATCTTTATTGACAAACGTCTGCCATGCATGAAAATTTCTTCCTCGATAGTGATGTCGCCTTAATTACTGTGAAATTTCATTTTGACAAGAGTTCGACATGCACAAATAGTTCTTTCTGACTACAGTAATTGTGAAATTTCTTCATTGACAGACGTCAACCATGCATAACAATTTCTTTCTCGATATTAATGTTGTCTTAATTATTGTGTGAATTTTATTTTAACAAGCGTTCGACATGCATAGAAAGTTTTTTTTTTTATCTTAATAAACGTTACATCTAACTGACCTTACTTATCTCAGTAAACGTTACGTCTAGCTAACCTTACTTATCTCAATAAACGTTACGTCTAACTAACGTTTGACATGTGCAGATAGTTGTTTCTGACCATAGTAATTTGAAATTTCTTTTAAACAATCTTCCGACATGCAAAGAAGGTTCTTTCTAACCACAATATATGTTATATCCATCCTTACCAGTGGATTGAAATTTAAGTCATTATCCCCCGTTTACCCATTCCTTAACCTTAAATTAGAAGCAATGAACACAACAACATCATTTAATCTTCAAATTAAAGGCCAATTGAAATAGGAAACAGACTTATAATTAAGAGTGAGACAGTTTCTGCACATACATACCAAACGCACCGAAAATCCCAACCCCAGGAGAAACACCCACCCTAGCTTCGATGGCTTCATATAACTAACATGCTTGCACATTACATATTATAAATAATGCTAGCTTTCATTACACACTCTAATTAAAGCCAGACTCCCATTTTTTATTCACTAATTCTATATTCTTATTTGGTGAAACACCACCACACCATCCCCTCTATGGAAACGCTCAGCGCCTCCTGTTTGCTGGCTCTTTCTGGCAGTTGAAGTAGACGGTGGAAACCGGCAGTCCAAGGTCGAGCTGCGCCGCAAAGAAGCGGGTGTTGAAATGGGCACGAGAGGGTGGTTGCTCCACCAACCCCACCGCAGCCTTCTGCTGAAACAGCACCAGAATGTAGCGGTGAATCCCCACTGGTGGCCTCGGACCAACGTACGGCAGTATCTCTTTCCCTGCAATAATTATTTTGTTATTTTATTTATTGATTGTCAATTTGTTAGCTCATATTAATCTCTTATTTCCTGTTATTTTTTATTCATTTAAAAAAAATATCAAAATTAATTAGAGAGCTTAGTAACGAAACCATTGTGCCACGTGGATGCAACAGGAGGAGAGGTTACCACATCAACAAGGTAACCTTGACAAGTGGCATATACGTGTCACTAGGAGCAAAGGTGTTTCAAGGATGAACTACGTGTTACTATCTATGCAAGGACAAAAACACCATTTAGGTAGAAATTTTAAAACTATTTTATTTTTAATTTGTATAAATAGCAAAAATATTATGAACTATAAAGAAAATATACACGACACGTGGTTTTTGAAAAATTGTTGTACCAAATCAAATTTAGCTAGTAACAAATGCTTAAGAGGTATAGAAGCAAAACATTCATAGTTTTTCGAGAATCAATTGATATGATGGAACTCTGAAAATTTTTGATGATTTTTTCGGAAATAATCTCAAAACATTCAAAGCCAGAGAAATGCATGCATGTCAATGATTCAGCTTGGAAACGAGTGTTTTGCCAGAGATTCTCTACTCGAAAATGAAGAATGGAATAAAGTTTCTGCTCGAAAATATGTGTATATATACGTATATATATGTGTGTGTGTGTATATAGAGATATATATTTGTGTTGCATGCATGCAAAAAGCTGCAACCAAAAACTTAAAGATTTGAGAACGGTAAAAAGTTAGGAAGATTTTTTCTCTTGGTGTTTGTAAATTACCTCTGAGAGGGTTTGTTCCTCCAGGGATATCAGACACGATCCTGAAATCATAAACAATGTGCATGAAGTTAATTTTTGTGAGTCCAATTAAGAAAGATTATTAACAACAAAATTTGTAAAATTAAGGTAAATAAATTAAAACGTAATTCATGCAAGAAGAAGAAGCAGTTGATCATCACCAATGGACCCACTCCCTCATGCTTGGCTCACTCGGACTCGGAGCATCAGGGTCAGTCATCACCTGCATGAACAATTTTATTAGGTGTACATATTTATG